GTCCCCCCGGTGGGTGCCCCCCGATGGTGCCCGCAGGCCCTTTCCCCGCAGAGCAGCGCCAGCCAGAGAGCGGTGCTTGTCCCTGAGGCGCTCCGGGACCGGGAGCTGGCTGTTTAGCCTTATACATGTGCGTAAATCTGTGTTCGATTCCCTGGCAGTGTTCAAGGCCAGGTTGGACACAGGGCTTGGACCCACCTGCTCTAGTGGAAGGGGGCACAGCACGTGGCAGGTTGGAACTGGATGAGCTTTAAGGTCCTTTCCAGCCCAAACCAGTCTGGGATTAAAGCTGGAGTCCATAAACGTGTATAGTGTTTGTGCCACAACACAGCACACGTGCGCCAGTGTGATTTTAACCTTGGCCTTCATTCAAGTGCATTTTACAAGGTGAAAGAGGCTGCTTCACAGTGGGATTTCAACTGGAGCTCAAGCTATCAAGCCTGGGCTCATGAAGAACCTTCCTTTTTCAAGGGCAGACTGTTAGCACCCAGGAGTACATCTTGCTGTAGTATTGACATGGGAAACATTAAAGTAAATCAGAGTATCTTGGTGCTGTAGAGCCTGAGCTGCCTACAGAGGCACTAGTAGTTACTAATTTCTCTGTGCAGCACTGGCAACTTCTTCCTGCTTTGTGTTAGATGGATGTCAGTGGATCTCCAGAAACTCCTTTCATTATGCTTTCTTTTGGGGCAACTGCAGTATTTTTGAGGTATCGGAGGCTCCTGTCCCATCCCTGTGTTCATCCTGTCGAAACTAAGGGGGTAGCTCAGGAATGAGAATAAATGCATGAGTGTAGGGCTTGGGAAAGCACTGTGGTTGCCTCCTCCCCAGCCTGAAATGAGATCTGGTTTTGGCTCCCTCCTGCTGGACTGAAATGCTCCAACTCCCCAGCTTCAGGTAAGACTATATCCCTTATATGCCAAACTGAAGGCTTATCTTTGTGAAGTATTTAGTGATCCTTGTTAGGAAGAGTTGTGGAATGCAAGTCAGCACATAGTAAGCATTAAGCATTATTATTAAGTATTAAGGGTTTAACAGCTTTAAAGATAACTGGACAAGGACATGTTGGGTTTGTTTCAGCACTTCCGGGGCAGGAAGAACCGCTGTTACAAGCTGGCAGTGCGCAGCGTCCGGAGAGCCTTTGTGAAGTCCACCAAGGCCAGGAGGGAGAAGAAGAGGTTCCTGAGAGCGGTAAAGAGCAACGTGTTACATCTACACAGTACAGGGGGGGAAGAGCAGAACTGAAGGAGCTTACTGGGGGGGTTCATTTCATCTCAAGGTGCTTAAATAATGGGCTAAAGATAAGAGTTTGAAGTAAGCATATCCCTCTGTGCTCTGGAACAGCTCACGTTCTGAAGCTCACACATGTAGATGTTGCACTGAGAAGACTGTAGGCCTGTAAATGTTATATGTGAGCAGATGAGCAGGACAAAGAGTTTCCTTTTAAAGTATTTTTTCATCCAAGATGTTAATTTTTACCCTTTCAGCTCTGGATCACTAGGATTGGAGCAGCTTCTCTGGAACATGGTTTGAAGTACCCATCTTTCATAAGCAATCTTCTTAAGGTAAGGATGGTGCTTGAACAGTAACCACTTTGAAACAACACATTGTCTGAATGTGCCAGGCAAATGAACTTCCTAAAACTCTGAAATGTAGTCAGGCAAAGCACATCAAAGGGTTGCTGGTTCCTGTCTAAGGATGCAACTGCCAAGAATTGCAGCTGCAGCCTCCACTTGCCAGTCTTTGAAGAGTAATGGTGAGGACTTCCCAATAGTGGCACAGGGCATGTTGGCGGGATGGAAAAGCTCCTTCTGTCAGAATGAACATTTGCCAACCTTGCCCTGCTTCCTGCTTCCAGTGATGAGTGGCTTAGGAGAGCAGTTTGTTCACTTCAGGAACGAAGTTCTGCCCTAAACCTGCGCACAGTGTCCTGGTGAACATTGTTGCTCTACACCTTGTTCTGTCCCCAAAACTTTCACTGCGCATCTTAAGGACACGGTTGTAGAATATTTTTACACTTGCTGCTACTGCACACATTAGGGCCTTTCCTTTTACTTCAAGAAACTTAAATATACAAATTCTTGGGTTAGCAAAAACAACCCTAAGAAATCCCTATTCCTTTCATTACTGGCTCTGTGTTTTGGTGGGCATGGGCAATGAGTTGGTGCTATTGACCCTCATTCTTAAACATGTCAGGGGATTGGTTTGAATTTGTTGATACTGGAACTGCAAATGGCTATAATAAAAAGGTGTTTGTCCTTCTTAAAGTGGAACTACACATAAATTTATAGCATATTTCAAAGCATTTAATCTGTATTTCAAATAAATAGGTAACTTTCTAGGTTTTCTGATGTGGTTCCTGCAAAGGAATATGAAATTCATACACTTGTTCTCCTGGTTACTCTTGTCACACTGTAACCAAAGAATCAAGCACTACTAAAAAGCTAACTTAATTTTCCCTTCTTTTTCCCCCTTTTTTTCCCCTGTCCCTTTGATTCTTGCGTCAGAACAATGTATTCTGGTAAGGTTCTCTGTTAAAAGGTCCAAACTGTTTTCAGTAATACCTACCTTTAAGGATATGCACTAAGTGTGCAGTATCTAGTGTTGTTAAGGGTATGTGATCCTGCAGTCTGTTTCTCTACTCCAGGACACATTTTAAGGTTCCAGGCAGCTTGTGGACAAGTAAACTCGAATATGTCTAAGAATTGAAGCAATTGCCATGGATTAACCTGTACCATATGGCCTGCCACAAAATGAGAGGTTCTTCAGTTCTTGGTTTCTGCTTTGAGAAAGTCAGTGAACAAATGTTGTGGTATAATGAGACACCCATGGTTGAGTAGTTGCGTTAACAGTTCCAAAACTATATGCAGCATAGAAAAAGGGTCATTTGCCTTAAGACCTGAGGTAATAAATATTATTCCTATAAATGACAGCACTTAACTAACACATTCTCTTGTGTTTAGTCCCAGGTGGAGCTGAACAGGAAAGTGATTGCAGATCTGGCTATTTACGAACCAAAGACATTCAAGTCCCTTGCTGCCTTAGCCCAGAGGAGGAGACAAGAAGGCTTCCTCGCTGCCCTGGGGGACGGAAAAGAACCAGAAGGGATCTTCTCCCGCATCGTATTGACGGGAAGGAGGCTGCAGATACGCGTATGAGCAGGAACTTGTGCTGCAGGGTCAGCTCGCTCCTGACCACTGCCGAGAGCATGGCTGTGGAGCACAGTCCTCGCAGATGGTTCCAGAAGGACGAGGGGAGGGCGCGGGCGGTGACTGTCCCCTGTGGTGATGTGACCGAAACCGCGGTTTGACGCCGGGGCTGTACCAATCGCGCTGTTAACGACGCATAC